CTTGTAGAAGGATACATTTCTTAAGGTACTCAGGGTATTCAAGAAAGGTATGTAGTGGGTGCAAGCTAATGTTCCAATATGAAGTGAACTCCAGAAAGAAACAGGTTGGGGGTCCTATTTGGATTTTTATTGGTGTAAGAAAGATGGAGGGTCACTTGCCACACCTTTGAGAAGCACTGACTGATCCTGGGTTCACCCCTGATGCTCCTGGATACTTCCCAGATGATGACCATGGTCGCACTGGTGTCCTCCTGCCTCCTTCCAGGTGCTTGAGACTTCCTCCCCTGCTCTTTTGCGCAGTAAGTCTCAACCTTTCCTCGAAGAATCTCTGTGACTGCCACTGCCACTGTCCTCCCGTTGTTCATCGATTTTCTGGAGCAGGCCCAGAAACGTCTCCATTGTGACACTTGTTACTGTGTTTGGCATATCGATAAGCTCTGTGACATTTTCCATTTATTCACTTTTATAGGTTAATTGAATTGCATCCTCTAGAAGAGGTGTTAAACACCTTGGGTTGGAGAGACAGTACAGGGTTTAAGATGTTTGCCTCGCATGCCACTGGCACTGGTTCATTCCTGGCAACACATATGGTCCTCTGAGCAGCAAGGAAAATGTATGCAGAGAGAAGACAAATAGAAGACAAAGGTAAGAAGCTGCCTACCTGCCAAAAATTGCCTAAGGCTACCGGAAATTGGGATGGAGGCTTAGAACCCATTCTCCTTCACTGCTCCCGAGGAAACCCTTTAAGCCTTTGGTTCTGGCCTTCAATCACCAGAAATCTGTAAGTTTCTCTTGTTTAATTCACTGTGTGCTGTGTTACAGAAGCTCTGGGAAATGGATATACCCTCCCTGCATTTTTCCATGAAGTATAGCATGAACATATGCTTAGAATAAGAAAATTTTCTGACCTTATTTTAATTCAGGTTCAGAGAGGCCTAAACTTTACCAGTCATCACTATTCTTAGTCTCTATTTGTTCTTTCTAAGTCTTTATTACCTACCTTTCTTCCATCATTTAATTAATTTCTTAAAAAGTAGGCTTCATTGTTTGCAGTTTATAGCCAACTGAAAAATAAAGGACTTGCATTTTAACTGCTAAACTCGGGGGTCCAGAGCCTTGGTGTTGGGCCTAAAATGACTAGGAGTTTTCAGTAATTCTAAAGAATTCTTTCTTAGAAGTAAAGGAATCTTACACAATTGGCCTAGGAATCTCTCCACCACAAATAAGAGTGTGTCTTTGAAAAAGTGTATTCTGAGTTTTCTATAACTGACTTGCTAATGAAACTTCAACACATGCTTATCATTTAGTTGTGGTTTTGCTCACAGGTTACCTGAGTCATTAAGCTGAAATGTTGCATTATTTGTAATAATTATCCAGGATTTAAAAAAAATCTGTAGAGATGTATATTTTTTGCCAAGTATTGTCAGAACATTTAAAATAAGTCTTTTCTTTCTGCTGAATGTAACAGAGTTAATAGGACTACTTGATTACTGATTAGCAGGATGGAAACCGAATTGGAGAGAGTGACATGACCTTTATATTTTATAGGCACTGGGTTACAAATTTAAAATGGAGATACCAAGAGAAACCATGTTCAGGAAATCAAATAACTACATTTCTTTGATTAGTTAAAATGGCCCTTTCCACTCCTTTTTCTCACCACAAATGTTTTATTCAGAATAAAATTCATGACTGAACAGAATACACTTTTTTCTAGCTGTCTACGGAGTAGATATATACCGTTAATGTACACTGTTGATACGGACAATTAATGCGATCATAGACTGGAGGTAAACAGGGATTCATTATAAAAGTTACTGGAGGGGCTGGCAGGAAGAACTTGGGTCAGGGATTCATGCATTTGCAGGGCCCTGGTAAGCTCCCAGCACTGCAGGGATGGCCCCGTGGTCCCTAACTCAGCAGGGCCAAGGAAGTGCCACATTCTTGTGCCTAGTATTGAATCATTTGCCCAGCTCAGTCTTTGGGAAGCAGAAAAAAAGGTATCTTAATAATCTAGGGATTGCTTTCCTAATTTCCTTGGTCAACACATGTTCTGAAGTACTATATCAATCAATCAAGTTCGGATACTTATATCAAACTGATTAAAAGGGAGATAAGAGAGTGGGAAAAATCAAGACACCAAATTGAAAAGAATGCTATCTCAGCTACTGAGTACAGAGAGACATGTGACCCAGAATATAACTAATTTCACCTGTTTAAATCTAAATTTCAGAGTTCCCTGCACATTATCTTTGGATTATGAGTTTGAAACCAATGAGTGTCTATTTTGTATCATTTTTGCATTACAAGAAATGTATGGGTTGCTTTGAGTATCAAAGGAACTATTTATATATTACAAAAACATTTAAAATTTGCCTATAAATATCATTTGACTTTTGTTAGGAAGACTGGGAAATAAATATACAGTACCTGAATGAATCTAGCACTTCCAGCTAGAATGTCCATAATATTCTTATCTAGCATTTGACATTTCTCATGCATCTGAAAACAACAGATTTGATGAGGCTGTATGTAAATTATATAATTCTTAACAGGTATTCTGTTTATTGAAAACAGAACTATTTTATTTGTTTTCTCCAGATCATCGCGTAAGAGAGTAATGAAGATTGTACTTGTGTGTGGTCATATGGTTATCATCCCTTACACCTTCCCCTGTCCTTTCCTTCCTCCCTTCCCCCCTCCATTCCTTCCTTCCTTCCTTCCTTCCTTCCTTCCTTCCTTCCTTCCTTCCTTCCTCCTTTTCTCCCTCCCTCCCTCTCTTCCTCCCTCCCTCCCTCCCTCCCTCCCTCCCTTCATTCCTTTCTTCCTTCTTGTTTTTCTTTTTTTTCTATTCTTGTTTCACAATCCTGTTACATTTCTAAAAGGTGCTCAATTAAGCCAAGTACTGCTGTGGTTGGAGAATATAGATACACAATTTGTGAACAATAGACATTTGTGCTCTGACCACTATTTACTAGCTGTGACCTTTGAGCAAGTCATTTCACCATCCCGACAAAATGAGAGTGTTGGTGTCAATTGTCCAATGTGTTTTCTGGATGTATCAAATTAGTTTATGTGTGAAATAGTGCTTTGTGAAATGAAAGCACTGATCAGGTAGCTCTTGCGATGGAAAAATGATTCTGTCACTTAACTACCATTGACTTTCTTGGTGTCTCCCTTGAGATCACTAACTTTTAGTAGCCACTTGTTAGATGTACCCAAGCATAGAATTATCTCATCATCACCTCCCTGCTATTGAAACAGTAAGGAAGCCCTCAGGTATTTAAGCACTCATTCTGTGTAGAATTCCCGTGCTTCCTAAAAGATGAGAATCAGCATCCAAAGCCTTATGCTTGCCCAAACTTTCCTACCCCCCTCACTCTTCTTATTCCCTAAAAAGGATCTTACAATCCTAATTAGGCCTAGAGAGGCCCACAAAAGAAACATGCTTCCAAGCACTTTGGATTTATGGACTGAAAACAGTAGGCTACTGTGCATTTTCATATATTCAGAGAGACAATTAAGATAACTTTAGTTATGGTTTTGAAAACAGTCAGGGCAGGATTCAACTGAAAGTACAGCTTTTCTCTGTCAAAACCCAAACTGAAATGACATATTTGGAATCTACTCACTCTATTAAAAGCAACCAACCATCTGAAATCATTCAGTGAATTGGAATAAAGTTGTGCAAAGTTTTGTAATTCTCGGGAGAGAAACAAGAGTTTGGAAGAAAGTTCAGCTGCCAAACTGCAAGAACAGACAATTCACAAATAGGGATGTTAAATGGTCCACAATGAGTGAAGAAATGTCCATCTGCACCCAAAAAAGATATGTCAGCAAAAAGAACCCTAAAACTCCTTAGAGAGATATGAAAATACAGTTCAGTACTTCACACTTAGTGGTTGTTCATTTCTGTCAAAAGTACACTCTTGTACCCTGTGGTTGGGAATGTAAATGAGCATACTCTCTTTGGACTGAAATTTGGCAAGATCAGGAATAACTCCACTTTAAGATATTTGTCATTGATTTAAAAAAATTAGGTCTGAATGTATACACTACCATCTTATTCGTAATAGGGAAATTGGAAAGACCTACATATTTAATCACTGGGGAATAATTAAACTCATTAGAGTATAAACATTTGTTATGGATTGCACATGTATTGAACCTTAAAACCAAAAGGAGGTGAGGTCTTTGGAAGGTCATTAGGTTGCCTGTTTCTCCCCTGGGATTAGTGTCCCTATAAAAATTATTGTTCACTCTTTTTCTGCCACATGAGGGTACAAGGGGAAAGCAGCTTGTAGACCACGAAGAGAATCTAGCCAGCTGGTAACTTGATCTTGGATTTCCAACCTGCAAAACTATTAGAAATAAGTCTCTTTATTAAGTCGCACAGTTTTATGATATTCTCTATAGCAACCCAAATGGTCTAAAAGCCAATCCATGTAAAATTGCTACAGTCTCATGTCCAGAAAGAGAGTACAGGAGGCAAGGCATTGTATGAGGCTGACATTGGTTTGAATCCCCAGCACCTGATAAGTTTCCTGATTAGGGCCAGGAATAGTCACTGAGCACAGAGCCAGGAATAAGGCCCAGCACCATTACTCAATATTTGTTTGCCCTCCAAACAAAAGGAAAAAATTTTTTTAATTTAACATTTATGTATTACTATTCTGAAGTTTACTTAATGACATGGGAACATATTATTTGACATTGTGAGTACCGGTGTATAATGCCTATCCGGGAAGTTGATATATAGAAAAAAGTAAAAGGGAATTAACTGTAATGTTAGGAAGAGTTTCTCTATCACTGTTAGCTGAGAATAGGCACTTTTTCTTTCTATATGTTTGTGTTTTCCAAAGTATATGTAACTGATGTGTTTACATTCCTAATCAATAAAATATGATATTAAAAATACTTTGGGTTTTCTCACAACTTCTAGCCGAGATTGCTTGTTCTGAAACTAGAGGCCTTACCTTGCCTTCTGCTCCTTTCTCTAGAAGCGTCCCCATTGTACCAGCAGATGGCCTCAAAGTGAAAGCACTGCAGTTTTGTCAAACCAGAATGAAGAAGAAAGAGGGTGATAAAAAAAAAATTCCCTTATAATTTCTGTTGATCTTTTTTTCCCAAGATTTGTCTCTTCCACTCCAGTGTAAGTTCTGTTAACTTTTATCTTTAAATTCTGCCTAGTGGACAATCTGGAAACAAAGACAGAGCAAAAAAAATTGGAATTTTCCCAACAGAGTTCATTAAAATGGCCTGGGAATGGTGTGACTAAAGTTTCTTCTTATTTCATTCTTATTTGAGATGAATCAGTGCTTTCCCAGGGTGCAGTTGCACACTTTTGAGTCTATATGTGTTTCTAGGGGTTTTTTTTGGGTGGGGGTGCATAGGCTTATTACATTCCTGGTGGTGCCTATCAGGAAACCACATGGAGTTCCAGGGATTGAACCTGTGTCTTCCATGTGCAAGACAAATACCCTACCCACTGTGCTGTTGCTCTGACACTTATAATTGTTTCTATTTTTTCAATAAAAAAGAACTTTTCTCCTTTGAAACAAATAGAAGGCCCTCCCGTTGATCGTCGATTTGCTCGAGTGGGCCCAGTAACGTCTCCATTGGAGACTTTGTTGTTACTGTGTCTGGCATATCGAATACTCTCGGTAGCTTGCCGGGCTCTCCGAGAGGGGCGGAGGAATCGAACTCGGGTCGGCCATGTTGGCCGCGTGTAAGGCGAACACCCTACCCGCTGTGCTATCGCTCCAGCCCTAGAAAACAAATAGAAAACAGCTCAAATTTTGTCCAGCACCCGTCCAGAAAAATTAGGCTCAAACCCACAATGCAGAATCAAGAAGAGCTGGCTATTGGCTATTTTGTGCTTGTTCCTCCAGGTGACTTTCATCTCATTTTCTTCAGAGATGAGTGACCTTGTGCACAGCATCTATGGACTGTGCCTTCTGGACTCTGGGGGATTTGACCACTGGGAGAGCCAGAAGGAGAAGGAGGATGACCTTGAACTCTGTTCCCTGGGGCTCACTGTTGGCTGGGCAAGAGTCGTATCAGCCGTCACCTCTTAGAGGCAGACTCTTCTGACAGCTCATCAAGGAAGAAGAAGGTCAGCACAACATCGAGCTCTGGGTGTCACTTGATCTTTGATGGTTTCCCTTAAATGTGCCCTGCTCTTTGTAAACTGCCTTTCTCAACTCTCTAATTTCCTCTTTCCAATTCACCATCCCTTCCCTGGCAGTTCCTGAGCTGGAAAACTTTTTCAGGATATTACTACTTTATTCTGTGTCATGACTCTCACAGAGAATACTTGAAGCACCTTCACAGAACCCCCTACGATTAGCAGAAGAGTTGATGACTATAATGCCTTACTTAATATGCTTTAATCTATAACAATGTTTCCTGGCAATGGATTTTCCCAAAATATCACTGTCACTGTCACTGTCCTCCCGTAGTTCATGCATTTGCTCGAGTGGGCCTAGTAACATTGTGAGACTTGTTACTGTGTTTGGCATATCGAATACATCATGGGTAGTTTGCCAGGCTTTGACCTGCAGGCAAGATACTCTCGGTAGCTTGCCCCGCTCTCTGAGAGAGGCGGAGGAATTGAACTTGGGTTGGCCGTGCGGCTGCGTGCAAGGCAAACACTCTACCCGCTGTGCTATTGCTCCAGCCCCCCAAAATATCAATATATCAAAACAGAGTCATGCTGGAGTCAACTATTAGTAATAATGAAGAATTAAATTGTGTGCATGTGAAAAAATTAATTAGGAGCCAGAGAGATAGAAAAAGGGGAAAGGCACTATCTTTGCATGTGGCTGACCTGGCTAGATCCTCAGCACTACATAATGGAGTTCCCTGATCATCTTCCAGGGTTCACTCAAGCACGGGGTCAGAAGTCCTGAACATCTCTAGCATAACTCAACACACCTCTCTCTCCAACCTCCACACCCTTAATTTAGCTTAAAATGTATTAAAAGTTAATTTGCAAGAATAGATGTGCTGGAGTGATTTGTTTTGTTTTGTTTTGGGGTTTTTTTTTTTTGGTTTTCAACTTTTCTTGTTTTTACACATAAACATTCCAGTTTACCTTCTTGTGTCTCAGAGAAAGGAGATAGTTTCAGTAAATGCACCTGAAATTGGCTATATTCAGCATCTATCAAATATGCATGTCAGCCTATATAATGACCCTGAGGATGTTTTCTATATGTCATGCCACTCACCTTGGTAAACAGGTGAAGAACTACTCGGGTCACAGAGCAATTCATCAGGGAATTCCTGTAGTGAATAGTCGTTCCGTTTTCAGGACAGCCTTTGTAGTATAAAGTTCCAAATATCATACTACCATCTACTATTTCAGAATTCGTTATCTCAGACGCATTGTCTTATTTAATCCTCATAATGATTCCCACTTTATCAATGTAGGGTTCTTTAATAGTCTGAAAGGAGTTAGGATTTGGAGCACACAACCCACTTTTACCACAGACTTGTATATTGGGTCTCCTGGGAAAAATATGAGCTGGGTAAAAGTGAGTACTGCTTTTACTGAGGCTGCCGAGGCTCTGATAAAATGATCTCGAATGATGAGAAGAAAAAAGTTCAGATATTTTTTCCTCCTCTGATCAATTTAGTTCAATTAAATTGCTTGATACTGAGGTGACTGACATGAAGCCTTCCAGGAATCTGAAGCTCACTTGGTAGACAAAGCTATAAACAAGAAATGAGAGAATGATAATAAGATGTGAGTAAAATGAAAACAGAAGCCTACTTTAGATGTAATGGGAGCAGTTGAGTCTACGACAGGTAATGGAGGTGTCATAAAAAATTATGTATCAAGACTGACAGGATTGACCTTGAAGCAGGTTTAGAAGTTGTTTAGGAAACCGGTGGAGAGAGTGTTATTACAGACAAAAAGCCCACAGGGGCTCCTCATTCTTGCCAAAGGCTAATAATCAACTCCAATTGTTTCCTCAACCTTGGTTTCCTAGGACTGTCTGGATTTCCAGCTTTTTGGATTTAAAGAAACAATGTCTCATTGGGAGAGAGGCATTGGGAGAAAAGAGAAACTGACTCTCTGGAATAAAATCTAATTTTGTTAAAATTTAGTCTTGGATCTTATTTTTAACAGGACCAGGGACTAACTACCTGAGAAAACTAGATGGTGATGTGGAGCCTGAAATTTGACAGAAATGTTCGATAAGTGTTTGGTCTGAGAAGTGTGCTACAACTCACAGGGACAGCCTCAAATCTGGTTTTTCAGAGTCTTGGATGCAACTATCTGAGATTCCACATGGATTTGGATCAGGAAAGTATTAGGAAAATATTAAGGAAGGAGAATTTATAGAAGGGATTTACCCGCTCAATACTATTACTCAAAAGATAACTGTATTATATCAGACCAAGGAGAGGAAAGAGGATTTAGAAGGTTGTCTAAGATGTCACAAAGATTGATAGAGTTTACTTGACTAAGAAAAACAGAGCCGTTCAATTTAATTTCAGATTTTTAAATATGTGAGAATCCTGGAACTTCTTATCTCTACCCTCAGACAGATGTAAATTTTTTTTTTTTGGTTAAGACCTGAAAGTGTATTCACCACTGTCTTATACCATCTTGTCTTAGATCCTATACCTACTAATACAGTTTCTCTTCTTCTCACCATGGTCAGTACAGGAACTCTCAAGTCATGCCCAAAAGTCTAGTAAACTGAACAGAAGCAAACAGTATGGAGAAAAAAAAATATTTCAAACTGGATACTAAGAACCTAGATTAGTTTGGCTTTAGAAAACTAATGGGATGTATTCGGGAAAGGAAGTTACAGAATCCCCGATCCCCCCATAAGCACCAATAAACCCTCTTTATTTTGGAGTGAGTAAGGTGATACTAAAGTTAATGCAAGGAAAACAAAGACTTGCAGCATACTTGGGAAATCACTGGGGAAAGATGCCTAGCAGATCTATAAGTACTACACATTTAATTAAAATTAAAATACAGGCACATGGATAGAGACACCAATGAAATGGGTAGAAATTGAGTAAATAGATCTAAAAATATGCAGCCATTTAGCTGGAGATAAAGGTAACATCAACAATCTCTGCAGAAAAAATGGACTTTTAAATAAATAGTGTGAGTACCGCTGAATAGCCATTTACACCAATAAGCTTACAGAGGGAACATGAACGAAGATTACCCATGTGGGGAGGAGAAAATAATGGTTACTTTCTCCACAATGCAGGTGTGAGGAGTTGCTTTCTAAACACAACTCAAAAGCCAGGTGCAAGAAGAAAAAAGACTGATCTTCAAACGATCTAAAAATAAAATACATTTGCATGGGAAATTTAAAAATCACGACAAAACCAGAACCAACTGTGGAAAACATTTGCAACATATATCACAGCTAAAGGGCCAATCCTCTGATATATAAGAAGTAGCAGACGTGGGAGGTGAGAGTGCTTCTCGAGTTTTTTCCTAGATTATAGTTCAGGCCTCACCTGGATTTCTATCTCCACGACTGTAATTAGTTTGCTGTTGGCTTGGTGTGATTCACCATCTCCCGGCCACTTTGTTGTTATTTTTTTTTTTTTTGCTAGCATGTACTTTCACTCTCAGGCACCAGCTTGATTTATAAGTGTTTTCCCAGATCACATTCTGTACTGGGCCCTGCACCTGGTGTTTTCCCAGGCCAGCCGGCATGACTGGTTTTTGGGCTTTTCTTATTTGTGGATGGTTCTTAGTGAGTTCCACATACCCCGCCCCTTAAGTGGTAGGAGGCACAGGGAAGGGGGTTGGGTATGGGGGGAATCCTCCAGCAGAGATGACTATACCCCCCAAATACACAAAAGCCTTCAGTCTTGGGGATTTCCAGGTGTTATTAAATACACAGGATCCTTTACCCAGCAGGGATGGATAAGTTTTCAAAGGGGGAGTGGAGGTGAGGGGTGGGGGGTTAAATAAATAAGTTTTAGGTTATAGATAGTGAAATTGAACCCTCATTTCCATCTTCGTTACTTAGGAGTCCTAGTTGCATGAGCACAGCTTACATTTCGGTGTCATCAAATTTATATAAGCATCAGAGGTGGACAGCAGGAAGAAAATAAAGCTTTGGAATAAGAGAATACTCTAGAGAATTTAAAGAATGTTAGCTAAATTTCCAGCGTCATCCCCACTCTCCAGGAGGCCAAGGACCCACTTAACCAGACACTTCTGTTCATGTGAGGATGAGGGAAAGCATTTCCTGGAAATGCACACGCATAGGTCTGAATTCTGAGCTAGATTCATCTAGTAGCACTATAACAACAGCACTTGGCATTAGTAGAGAATTTTCTGCCCTTTTTTGGTTTGCTTTGGAGACTACACGTGGTGCTTTGAGCTACTCTCTGGAATGTTCAGGGAACCATGAAGTGCCAAGGATCATGCCCAGGCCCCCTTTTTGCAGAGCATGCACTCATCCCATTTGAACTAACTCCCTGACCCAGTTTTCTGCTTTTTGATTTGTTTTGGTTTGGTTTTTGAGCCACACCAGATAGTGTTACTGTTGGCTATGTCCGAGGATAACTCCTGGGGGTGCTTGAAGGACCAGTGACTTCTACCTTTTGAAATCAACTTCACATCATAATCTCACATCATGAATCTCAAACATTCACATGATCTATGGAATTGGCAAAAGGTGATGGTGGGGTTGGTAGGACTCTCACCATTATGCAAATGAGAGAAATAAAGCAGAGAAAGGTTAGGAGATGGGAGAGATAGCCTGATCAAAGTCCCTGGACCAGGTGGCACATTCCCTGGGATAGATTCCAACCAAGCCACTCACAGATCCCGTGTCTTAAGGAAGTCAGACTTATGCGGGTGACCGGGCCTCTGCACCAGTTCCTATTAAATGAGAAGTTTCCGCAAGACAGTCCTTGAGGGCCCTTCCACAGTGGTTGTTCCAGGATTTTATCACTTGCCAACTTCACCAGGATGTAGTCAGTGGAGGTGAAACAATAT